AAAAAAATTATTTTTCGAGAAATATTTTACTCTCAAGCATAAGGTATCATGACAGTTATCAGTGGTCCTGGTGGAACATTCAGTTCACCAAGTATACTTCAATGAGTTCAAATGTTGCTTTCCAAGCCAAATTAAAATGGAGCAATTGAATGAGAAAAGAATAAGGCCACCATGACATATTCCAACATTATGTTCACAAAAAGCATTGAATAATACCAAAACCAATATATGCCCTTCTCTCCATGTTTTAGTCACAATTGATGCCTAACTTATTTATTTATTTATTTTTGTTAGGTTTTAATATATATTTTTTCGTAAATATTTTTTGACAATTAAATATTAAAATATATATATATTAAAAAAAATTTACATCCAAACAAACTGACATTGCATAATCTTCTATGGCCTGGATAATAATGGGCATAGAAATCTTGGCCCAGCATAGACTTTAAGGGCCTAAAGTCCATGCCTTTCTCAGATTTTTACAAGCACATACAATTAATAACTGAAAAGACGAAGAAGAAAAAGGAGACAAAATGAAAAAAAAAACAACGAAAGAAGTTTTCCTTATCAGTTCTAGAAAAATCGAGGTCACTGCTTATGGTTTGTGTGTGTCAGTGTATGTGAGAGAGAGAGAATTGTGAAAAGAAAAAGCACACTATAAATCAAATTAAAAATAAAAATTTGACTCTTTTCAATGCTTCTTAGCTTTATCATTCATCTCTCTAGCTACTCTGTTGACATTGTAATAGATCTTTTATATTGTTTTAAAATACCCTTTTTTTAGTTGGGCACCAAGTCAAAATATCCCTTCTTTTTTTTTTTTTTTTAATCTGTTGAAGTATGTATATACCATTACAATATTAATTTGTATGTACCAATGGATAATTTTATTTTGAGGAGTGTATTAGGTAGGAATAAAAATTTTGCACCAATATATAAGTCTCTGTTTTGTAGACAATGCATCATTTTCAAACTAAATTTTGTAGCACAAAATCAATTAAAAGAGCAGATTGTCAACTTATCATTGATCAAGCAAGAAATAGAAAGGAATTCAATCTTTTTGGTGCGCTTGGAATTCGGTTAACAGACATTTTTCTTACAAAATTGAAATAATATATTTATGCTTGTATCAGGAAAACTTATCATAAGCCATATGCAAGTCCCAATGTAGAGAAAAAAATTATATATTTCTCAAAATAACTTTTGAATACTAGTTTTTCCAACAAACAATGTTAAACTTTTAATCTTGATGGGTAGTTTTGGAATTTTTAAAAAGCCTCTTGAATATCATTCAATTGCAAGAAATCTCCTTACAAATATTTTTAACAAAAAACCTCCCTCAAATATCATGAGGGGATCATTTTAACTGACTTTCATTTTAAGTGATTGTGTGAGTAAATTTTTCAGACTAAATTACCCTTAATATCAAAATATTATAACTAAAGTACTCACCACAGACTTTTTGCTTTTTTCTTTCTTTGTTAACTACCTTCTCTTTTACTAAAGGGCCTTCGACCCAATGATATAACCTCCCCATCTTCAAAGAAGAGAGGAGGGGTTCGAGCCCTGGCGTAGGCAAAAATGTGTGTGCTTGCTTTACCAAAAAAAAAAAAAAAGAAATACTGCCATCTCTTTTTCTTGCTTGGACTATGAACCACTTACACCACCAGGTTGATCGTCCACCTTAGTGTCATGCATCTACCTCTTGCAAAACCCAATTCTCTAACAAACTCTATGGCTCCTCCAATAATGGAAGCTTGATCACCCTGTCATTAATTGCCACAAAACCAAATTAATGTTACTAAATTTCATTTTTTTTTGGCTTCAAACATTATATATTTATATATATTCCATGGGTAGATTTTTTGATATATATATATATATATATATATAGATGAACATCTAATGAATTTTTTGTTAGGATAATCACATATCAGTTGGCACAAAAACCAATCTAGCTAAACTTCACATTTGCTTCCAAGATGACGATATATATATATAGATGCAGTTGTGTAGATTTATTGACGAATATAGATGTGCAAATGATGTTATGCTTGGTGACAAAGCACATATCAATTGGTACGAAACCAATACTCTAACCTAAATACCAATTTTGCATATATACATATAGATGCATGAAGTGTGTAGATTTATTATATTGTCTGTAATCGGATTTTGACCTGAGACCTAACACGCTCAGGATCCATGGCTGACGTTGTGACTCCGTCAATCTCTTCCGCTTCTGGCGAATCTCCATCACCGATTGCTTTAGTGGAAAATAGTACTGTGATTTTAATGGCTATGGAGACATTTCGTAGGAGTCAGTTTTTGTTAGCGACATGATTTCGTCAAACGAGTCTCCATCGAGAACACCTCTAGAGAGAGAAAGCACCATAACCAGTTCGGATTTTCTTGAATGCATTATCTTTGTATTCAATCTCTTGTATTGCTAGTTTAGAGTTACAATGTTCTTGTTTTCCTGAAAATTGTCGATGCTTCAAGTTGCAGACATAGCGGCAAGGCTCATTATATTCAATAATCAATATGTATGTGCAGTGTGAATTTTGTACAATTTTGGGGCTTTTTCATTTATTGTGTCCTTTAAATAGTACCAAACTTTCAAAAATGTTGATTATAAATTGTTTGAATTTTCAGAAGGTTTTCTCGACGAAAAGAAAGAATGAAGAGAAAGAGAAAAATAAATATATTTTTTAAAAAATATTCTATTAAGGGGTAATTTGGTTTAAAAAAATTCTTTACACAATTACTAAAACAGAAGTTAGTTAAAATGACCCCTAATGATACTTGAGGGGGTTTTTTTTGTTAAAAATATTCATAAGAAAAGTTCTTACAGTTGAGTGATAGTCGAGAAGAATTTTTTGCAATTCATCCTATAATTAAATACATATTCTCTTGAAGAATTGGAATTCCAAAAATAATAATAAGATTTTTGATAAAGAACGAGTATACAACTGATCAAAACAAGCAAATAATGCAAAATCAAGGGACTGGGATTCTAATTTGATAGGCGGATATTTGGCTCCTAAATTGTGATAATATTGTTTAAGCATCAATCATTCAATAGGAAATACTAAATTCAAGAAACATGGAAGACAATATTGAAATAAGACGAGAGCGATTTTATTCATTTGTTAGACCGCACGCGACATTTCTCTAACCTTCAAAAATAATAATAATAATAACAAGACGGAGGACGTGAAGTACGGTATGTTATAATCGTTGGTTCAAAAAATGTAGAGCATCATATACATTGTATTTATTCGAATTGAATTGAATAATGATACATTGACTTGCTCTTTCTCTAATCTATAACCGAAAATGACATAAAAAGATTGATTAGGTGGGTAGATCAACCGTTGGGTGAGTCTAATTCTAATTAGATGGGCCATGTCTTTAAATTATTCCACAACAAATCTCTCTTATCCCAAATTGGAGGAAGTTTCTTTTTGTGCCAAGCATGCCTCTTTTGTAGCAGTTTATTGAAGAGTCAACTTCTATTCCCACCTAATATATATTGCAACAGATAAGAAACAAGTGGGACTCCAATCCTTCATGTACTCCTCAATTATACTAATGTCTTTATTATATACTAATGCCTTTATTATAAATAATTAGTTAAGGTAAAATGCTTATTTTTTATTTATTAATTTGAATGTTTAAATTATTGGGTAGTATTGCATACTAATTTATTTATATCAATTCATTTTTTCATTCAGATTCGATGTGGGACAAACTCTCCTTTAAAAGTTGTAACATTATCTCCCCACCTGAACTCGCAATGTTCTCGTTGCGGCTCAAGTCACCCTACTTACCCAGGGTAATGTTTTGGACGCCTCCAGGTCGGGTACTTGGCGTGATGTCAAATTAAGGACTGGATCTGTCTCTAATACTAACGATAACCAGTGAGCGTTGTTTACCTATTTATCAAAAAGTTTAAGTAATTGGGTAATGCTGTATACCCACCCATTTATACATATTCATTTTTTATCAGGACGTGGGACAAACTCCACTCTTATAACAAGAAGTAAGATGAACATAAATATAACAATATGTCAATATTCATTTAATCACTTTCACCCAAATTAGAAGATTTATTTATTTATTTTATTATCACAAGGTTCACTTTCACCCAAATCAGAAGATACTTTAAAAAAAAAAAATGGATTTAAAAAATAAAACCAGTGTGTGCCCGATTGATAACTTCTTATTATACTCTAAAACTTATTTTAGTTGTAACTGATGTAATGCACAACAACAATTCTTGATTGAACCAGCGATTAATAGAGCGAAATTTAATTGCAAGTTCATCTAAAAATTAATTACCTAGTGGTTTCAGATTATAAATTTATTTTTTTATTTTATTTTTTTTAAAAAAAAATTCAAACAAACTTACTGTACTGTAACACTCAACCTAGCTGTCCATTTGAAATAGGAAGCTTATGCCATCTGGACAAATGTCCATTATTATATATTTATTTTGTCAGGAACACATTAAGTTGTTCATATCAATTTCATTCACTAATACTTGTTGGTGAGATGTCATTTAATTTACTTTCCATATTCTCCATATTACACATAGAAAACTTGTTATAATTTATTTAAAAGTCTTAAAAGGAAAAACAAAATCTGAAAAAAATTATTAGAATTTGTCAAGTCAAAATCTATGACATAGTTTGACTCAGTGAATTCTTATCAATTCAAGTCGAGCCATAACCTCAACCGTCAGATTTGAAAAGTTTCTCTTAATCCAATGGCTAAAAACAAATACATAACTCTTTTTTTCCTACGTAAAGGAACACGGGTATTCAAAATAAAATTCAATTCCAACGTGCGTCCATGCAAGCCCCTTTGCTTCAAACACACACACACACACACACACACACACATATATATATATATATATATATATATATATATATATATATATATAGGTTTAAATTCTTCATCAAATGATCCCAAGACGTGTGAAGCTGAAAATGGCTCTGAAACCATCTGCTTCCATGCCAAAACCCTCCATTCTCTCTCTCATCTTTCTCTCTCTAACCCTCCTATTCCTAACCTTAACTTTCCGGTCCCAAAAAAAACTTCTCCTACTCCAAAATGAGTCCCAACCCCAAGAAACAACTTCCCATTTGACAACGCAAAAGCCCAGATGGTACGACGTCGTAAAACAAGAAATCGAGAGCAAAAAAATCAAGATTGGCTTAGTTAACATGGATGATGAAGTCACAACAGAAGATGAAGCACCGCATGGATTAGCAGACTCATTAACAACAGTAGTTTTCGATCGTGTGGCAGAGAATCATCGGTGGGAAGACTTCTTCCCTGAATGGATTGATGAAGATGAGAGATGGCATGCTCCCAAATGTCCCGACATTCCGATGCCGCAGCAGTTCGGAGACTACGGGGAGCTGGACGTGGTGGTGGCTACGGTTCCATGTGGGAGTGGTTTGGAGAGAGAAGGTGTCAGGGATGTGTTTAGGTTACAGGTGAATTTGGTGGTTGCTAATCTGGTGACTAGGAGTGGATCATGGGAAAGTCATGATCGTGAGATTGATCGGACGGTGTATGTTGTGTTTGTAGGGTCTTGTGGGCCCATGTGGGAGATTTTCAGGTGTGATGATTTATTGTGGCATGAGGGGAATTATTGGGTTTATAAACCTGATTTGAAAAGATTGAAACAGAAGATGGTCATGCCTGTTGGAACATGCCAGCTTGCTCTTCCTTATGCAGAGCCAAGTGAGTTAAATTCGGTTTATTTATTTATTTACTTTTAATTTTTGTTTTAATTATTGAATAATGATTTTCAAACTTAACAGTCTAACCGAAACTGTTAATTGGGGAATTTCTATAGGAATCCCTCGATTAACATTTTCAATTTGAATTTTAGTTCTAAATGGTATTGACATTTTTTTTGTTTCTATGTTATGTTTTGGTATTTATTAATTCACAATGCTTATTAACATGCATGAAGAAAGTTTAGTGGCTTATGAGTCAGCCTTATTTAATTCAAGCTTATCACATTTGTTTAGGTCTGATTAATGGTTGAGTTGGCTAATTAATCATCATATAATTTTTTCTTAAATTTTGAATTGAGGGTGAAATTGTCAAAATATTGATAGTTTAAGTGTTATAAAGAAAGAATTTTAATAAGAAGGAAATATGGAAAAATAGGATGTGTTTAGCAATATAGTTGGTGGGATTTCTTAGTCACCAACCAAACATGCATTTAAACATACAAGTTTAATTGTTGACAAGTTTTCTATTAATAAATAATAAGTTTTCTATTAATAAAGTAAAAACAATAAATATATATGATGGGTTTTGTCTTGTTAAGGACAGTGTTCTCTTATGAATCATTCTTGGTACAATGGATCTTCTGTAATCATGAAATTTAAAATTGAATCACTTACATATTGAGAAATTTAGATTAATTTATTTATCATATGTTATATTTATCTACAAAGTGAATAAATATTGGGTGTCATACATACTATGTCATTAATATATCACACTGTATAAATTTTTTGTTAGCATTTTTTAATATAGGACAAACTTTGTTTTTTAACTACGCATAGGCTAAACATCCTTGAGCGATCGAGGCCCCTGGTTAATTAACTCGTGAAAGAGTTATAATACGAAGTTCGATAGTTGGAAAAATTTGAATGTTTTTCTGGACGAGAGTTAATCATCATGACATGAGTTACAACATTAACATCAGTTTTCACTCACATAAAATAATTAGATTTGTCGAACTGTTAAACTATATATTTTTTTCTCGTAAAATTGTTCCATATATGCGTAGAAAATATGAATTTATGTGTTGCATTTTTATTGGGTGGGCAATAAGCATTCTATTAATTCCAAGACTGAATTTGTGGTGGTTAAAATGCAGCTCGAGAAGTGTGGAGAAAGTATGTTGCTGGCTCAATTGCAAATGACAGTCTCTACAAAAGAAAAGAGGCCTATGTGACTGTCCTCCATTCCTCAGAAGCCTATGTTTGTGGTGCAATAGCTTTAGCCCAAAGCATCATCCAAACCAACTCCACAAAAGACCTAGTCCTTCTAGCTGATAACTCCATTTCTGCAAAGTCCCTGCAAGGTCTCAAAGCTGCAGGATGGAAAATCAAGCGCATTCAACGCATACGAAGCCCACAAGCAAAGAGAGATGCATACAATGAATGGAACTATAGCAAGCTCCAAATGTGGAGACTCATCGAATACGATAAACTCATCTTTGTAGATGCAGATCTCTTGGTTCTTAGAAACATGGACGAATTCTTCATTTACCCACAATTATCCGCGGTTGGAAATGACAAGTTCTTGTTCAATTCCGGGGTGATGGTAGTTGAGCCATCAGAGTGTACCTACCAAACCTTGATGAAAAACCGGTTTGCAGTGGATTCGTATAATGGTGGGGATCAGGGCTTTCTTAATGAAGTCTTTACGTGGTGGCACCGTTTGCCTTCAAGGTTAAATCATCTCAAGATCTTCAGTAGAGTGCAAGACACAAAACACGAAGTCCCAAAGGATGTGTACGCGATACATTACTTAGGTTTGAAGCCATGGGTGTGCTATAAGGACTATGATTGTAATTGGGATATGTTTGATCACCAGCATTTTGCTAGTGACTCTGCTCACAGGAGGTGGTGGCAAGTTTATGAGGCCATGCCGAGGAAGCTGAAACAATACTGTGCTCTAACGAAACGCATGAATGCAAGAATACAGAAGTGGAGAGAGAGAGCTAAGAATGCTAGATTGTCTGATGGGCATTGGAAGATCAAGGTGAAAGATCCTAGACAGTATTGCTAGCTTATGATTTTTTTTTTTTTTTTTTTCTGGAAATTCAAGCAATATGTATAAATTAAAGTAATAGCTAGCTGCAGTGTTCCATTGCTTATGAAGTTTTTAACACAGTAAACAATGTTTCCTGAAATCCTCCACAAAAAGAGTTCTCTAGAAGGAATCATATAACACATTACTGATTACACAGAATTATTTACACACATGACGAGTCTACTTAATTTTCACACTAATGGAGTATCGGATCATTCAAAGCTTTAAATTCTGGCTGATAGGGGGAATTTTTCACGCCGTACTGGACAAGATTTGGAGTAATACGGTCGCTGGATATGAGTTACAGAGGCCAAGTAAGAAATGTAACAGTAGTATGAGTTACGGAGGCTAAGTCAGATATGAAGCATATTTATCTAGTGATAGTCCTCGAGACGGTGAAACTGGAGAGAAGGAAGGCAGCTGTCTTGAAGTATGCTGAAATTAGTGAGGCTGCTGATGGTAACTCCGTCCAAGTATCAAGTATCAAGAACATGTATGAAAGATTTAAAATACGCATTTTTCTAGTAGTTTAGCTATCATATCATATCAAAATGTTACAAACGTTATAATTATTTCAAACATAAAAAATGAAAACTCTGAAGTTAACAATGAAATACTTCACATGTATGGAGAGAGAGAATCAAATTGCATCCATTGTTAGGAACTAAATTTCCTCTCTAAATCTGAGTTCTGAGATAGTTGATAACATGAGGGATGACTATTTTTGATTACCTAAAGAGGGGTATTAAAGGCTATGTGCTTTCCCACTCAAAATGTCGTAGGATTAAGGAACCGGTATTTTTATCAACAAAAGATGAATTCATTCACCATTCATTAGTGATCCGAATCCGACGATAGTTCATGCCACGAAATCAGTTATTTCTCCTTAGAAATGCAGGTGCACTTTAAACCAAAGTACAGTGATTTTTCAGTGTTATATGCGATTAAATTAGACCCAAAATATATATATATATCTCCAATAAAATGCTCTGATTCTTCTTATAACATTAAAGGCATTATTTAGTATTGATCCTATCTAGTAGACATTAAAGGCCTTAATTAGTATTGATCCTATCAAGTATCTGGAGTAAACAGACTCTACACAAGTGTCTAGAGTAAACTAGATAAAAATTTAAGCAGTGACATTAATTTTTTACAAATTCCTTCTTCTTATATTGCAGTGTAAAATATTCACTTCACAGAAGGAAATTATGTAAAAAGTGAGAACAAAATCAAAGATAACATAATTCAGCAAAGAAATTCATGAATTATTGATAAAATACCTTGAGGCAAATAAATAAAACAAATCTTAAACCAATAAAGGAAAACATTTAATTATAGACATTGAGACAATATCATAAAAAAATAAATAAATAAATAAAAACAGAATAGACTTGAATCACTCCCAATCTTCACACATTACCAGTAAATCAAAAAGGTGCTCTTCTAGCTGAGAATCTCATCGGCATTGAAGTGGGACGCTGCTTCAATCCACTCATTACTCCTCCTCCTCCGTCACTCTTCTGCACAGATTTTCTGCCTTTCAATGGAGAAACCAATCTGTTCGCCAATCTTGATGGCGAAAATGATCTACGAATCTTCGCTGCTGTTGATGATACCTTCGGAGACTTTCTGCTCAAACTAGTGGGCCTTTTGGGTGAAACAGAAAGTGTAGGACTCTTGATTTTCACTTGAAACTTGGAAGAAGAAGACGGTGACTTGATCAAGAACTTATGTGGTGTTGTTTGTCGATTTCGAGCTATAATTGGAGACTTTGTCTTGCAAAACTTGTGATGATGTGAAGTGGGTGATGAATGGAACAATGGGTTGGGGAAAAGTACAGTCTTTTTGGCCCATGGTCTATTCCTTGGTGATACTCTGTTTGCCAAAAACAGAGCATTGTCCTGTTTCTCTTGTTCTCTCTTTTTCGGAGGTGAAACCTTGAAATTGATCCGTGATCGAGCCCGGTGGAAGGTCGGAGCATCAGATTCTAATCGGATTGTGTGCAATGTGATCTGTTTTTCCTTCTTTCTTCGTGCCCGGATTTCAGAGTTTTCGGGGTTGGGCCTCTGTTTTCGCCTAATTGTCACCGGAGTTTTTGGGTCTTCCGAAGGGGCTAGCTTCTTCATTTTGGAAGCTACTGATACTATTTCCCTTGCGAATTGACTAGCTTGCATAATTTCTCCTACTGTTTCTCCTAGTAACATCGCAGGCAACGACATTCGCCGCCAATCCCCTATATCAAATTACCATGTTAGATTACGCCATCCAAAAAACAATACCACGCTTTTTGAGGACATTAATTGATACATAATATATATATATATAGAGAGAGAGAGAGAGAGAGATACCTGCATTTGTTGGAAGCTTTCCTGGTGGAGATTTCCGGGGATTAGAACTCTTTATCCTTGAAATTGGAGAGGAAATCAGGAAAATCAGTTGAATGTGTGCATAAATGAATCAAACACGAGAAAAAGCCTATGTTTTGCTCAATAAAAACTCAAATTTATACTTTAAAATTGGAGAAGAAAATCAGGGAAATCAGTTAAATGTATGCATAAGTGAATCAAGTACGAGAAAAAAGCCTATATTTTTCTCAATAAAAACTCAAATTTATACTTTAAAATTGGAGGGGAAAATCAGGAAAACCCAGTTGAGTGCATGTATAAAAGAAAACCCAGTTGAGTGTATGTATAAAAGAAATCAAATACAAGAAAAAAAGCTTACAATTTTCTCAAAAACAATCCCCCCCAAAAAAAAAAAAATCCAATTTTGTAACTCCTGTTTGCGCCTGAAACTAGTTCTTAACAAAAAAGCTTATATTTCTCAAGAGTAGTCTCCAAAAATTGGAGTGGAAAAAATCAGTAAAACCCAGTTGAGTGTGTGTATAGAAGAAATCAAATACAAGAAAAGAGGTTGTTTTTCCTCAAAAAAAAAAAAAAAAAAAAAAAAAAAAAAATCCCCAAAAAATAAGCCAATTTGTGCTTTAAAGATCCTGGGAAAACACAAATTTGCATCTTAAAATTGGAGAGGAAAATCAGGAAAACCCAGTTGAGTGTTTGTATAATAGGAATCAAATACAAGAAAAAAGCTTGTATTTTTCTCAAAAAAAAGAATTCAATTTTGTACCTTAAAGATTCTTGTTTGCACCTGAGACTAGTTCTTAAATAGCCTCTGGTACTGCGAGGGCTGAGAGATACACCAGAGATTACCTTTGTCCCACCTGTAACTGTGTATTGAAGCTCTTGCAATCGAGCCATACATTTGTCCACCTTCAAATACCAACATAGCAACACAAACCCACAAGTACTAAATTAAGAGAGAGAAAGAGATGAGAGAGAAATTAAATTCATTCATGAAGTACATCATAAACAGATCAATGAAGTGATTGCAGAGAGAGAGCGTTTGTGGGTACCTTGTTCACAGTCTCTCTGAGCAGAGTGGGATTGAGAGGAGCCACCATTTTCTTCTGCTTTGGTGGGGTTCTTGCAACCATTTTTTTTACAACAACAGAGGGAAACAAAAAGTGGGTTTCAGTTGATTTGCGCTCTCCCCCGCTCTCTCTCTCTCACACACTGTTTCTCTCTCTAAAACTCAGTTTGTCTCTGAAGTGATGGTCAAAAGGGCGGAGGGTGGGTTCAACATGGAGTGAACTTTGGCAACGGATACTATTTTGTTCTAACGGTCGAATCTATTCCAGATAACGCAAGGAAACGGCTACTTCCCATTTTATGACATATAAAATAATGTTGCAATTACTACGCGGCAGTTACTTTTTATTTATTTTATTTTGAATTAACCAAGTGGACCCGCCTAAGTCAAAACTTAGGCTTACAAATTTTAGAGTTCAATATAATGATCCTACTATAAGCTGGAGACATTTTTATGAACTCTCTTTTTAAATTGAGCATACTTTAAATAAAATAATAATAATAATACTAATAATAAAATACAAATTATATCATTACATTACTAATATTAAAGTGATTTTATTTATAAAAAGAAAAAATCAATTCAAAATATCATAAAATAAAATTATAGGAGAGTCAAAGTTAATAGTGTAACTTAATAAAATAAAATAATAATAATAATAAAAAGTGTATCAAACTTTGGCTTATATGATCTACTTTAAATGATTTTGGTACAAAAATTTCACTCATATAATTGCAAGTAGTGTATTAGTTGAGTGGTTGGGTGATTGAGTTGTTTCTTATGTTTAGAACCTGTGTTCGAACCACTCTAATCGCTGATTCCTAAAATTCTTGCCATGAAAAAAAAAAATATATACTCATATAATTCTTGGAGTGCACAAAAAATCAGTTGAATTGATAAACCGAATTAGACCGATCCTAAAATTCTTGCCATGAAAAAAAAATATATATACTCATATAATTCTTGGAGTGCACAAAAAATCAGTTGAATTGATAAACTGAATTAGACTGAATTGGATCAGTAGATTTGGTTTAATTTTTTCATGATTCGATTCGGTTAAGGTTCAAAAAATATGTAACTATTTATAAACGATTCAGTTACGATTTGAAATTCTACAAAATCAAATCGACTTGAACCGAACCAAACCAAACCGTTTTATAAATTACATGTATAATAAGATTAGTCTGTTAACCACTCAATTATAAATTATAATATATAACAAAAAATGATATTATAATAAAAATGATATTATATATATAAAAGGCCTAGAATCGTAGAATCGAACCGAATCAAACCATTTTCTTGCGGTTTGATTTGGTTTGATTTCTTTCGTTTCACGATTCGATTCAGTTCTAATTTTTATGGAACCATTTGAAACGCTTTGGTTCCTAGATAGAACCATTTGAAACGCTTTGGTTCCTAGATATTTTCATACCTGTCCAATTTAATCTATGTGTACCCTTATATAATTCTTTTTCAAACAATTCACACCACAATATTTATACATGATCATGACAAAAAAAGTATAAAATTTATGAGAAGTGTAATGAGATATAGAACTTATGATCACATTACTCCATTATAATACACCTCTATTATATTACATCTACTAAAAACTATTAAATCAATGATGCTGTTACACATATGATAATATGTTACATTTCTTAAACGTAATACTATAACAATATTAAATTGAAAATGCAATATTATAAATTGACATGCTAACTATAAAAAGTGGATTATGTTTTATCTTAAATTTAACAAAGTCTCGTGGTATTACACTAGTGATTTAAGGTTACGGTATATTTGTCAAAAGAACACACAATAAAATTTATTTTATTTTTGGACGATAACACCCGCTTATGAGATTTTCAATCCAAATAGAGACTAAAATTATGTGAAAAGTTTACTTTACCCTTCATTGTTTAATTATAAAATATCAAAATAATTAAAGGATTAAATTACCCTTGCTTCTTTCTCTCAATTACCCTCTGCCCCCGCTCTCTGTAGATCCGTAGTACTTGATTTATGTTGGTGATTTTTGTAATGAATCAATTTTGAAATAGAAGGTGACAAATTCCTGCTCCGAAATCGATCTTGATTTGGTTCTTCTTTTTACTCTAATTTTATGTGAACACACTCTGTTTGGTTGGTGAGAAATCGAAAAACAAAAGAGACTACAATTTTGGGTTTTGTAATTTAATTCTTTTAGTTTCTAGAAAAATGAAGAAATCAACACAATTGAATATCAGGCTGAGTTGGGTGGAGGGTAATGATTTCCAGTTCGGAATAGTAAAAATGATATGGAAATGTGATTATTTTGTTTTCCTACACCTTTACTCAGCAGATAGGTACCATTTTGTTCTGCTTTTTTGGAAGGTACCAGTCTTGAGAGAAGAAAAATGGGTTTCCAAAGAAAGCTAGCTCCTAATGGATTAGTACCGTCACCTTGCCCCTCCGCCGGCTGTGTGTGTGGGGGCTGTGGTTGTGGCAGTGTGGGTGGGTAAAAGGGTTTGAGAGGGGAAATAGAAACTGAAAAGAGATATATGGGGGTATTTAAGTCAATAAAAAGTGTTATATTTGTCAATTTTATAGGGAAGGGTAATATAGTCAATTTATCATTGTAATGGGTGTTTTTGTCCATTTTATCAAGTGTGTGAGAGGTGTCATTGTTAAAAGATAGAGTAAGTTCTATCTATATGTCTTTTTGACAAACTTAAGGGGTGTTATTGTATTTTACCCTTAAAGTTAAAATTTATTTGGACTCCCTGAAATTTGTTCATACTTCAATGAGACTTCCCAAATATGCATAATTTCAATTATATATTGTTAAATTAAAATAATAATAATAATAATAATAATAATTAGTTTTGAAAAAAAGAACTCTATTTTGAGTGAGACCATCATCAAACGTGTTAATGTTTACTTAGCCGTGACATTATGTCATATCATCATTTTTTTAAAAAACTTTTCCCAGCAAAGGACGGTTAGACGACAATTTCACTTCATCAGATAATTTTTTATGACAATTTCAGTACAGAAGGCTACAAGGTTAAACCCACGCTTAAAAAAAAAAAAAGAAAAAAAAAACAAAGAATGAAGCCGAGTGTAACCAAAGGCTCATGACATTACAAGCCCAAAGTAAATAGAGTCCAGTCCACATGGATCAACTACTTCAAGAACAGAACTTCAAATTTAGACCTGGGCAGGCATATCAACAATAGTAATGGTCACTTTGGCATAGTGAAAATAGGAGGAAAGGGAAGAAAAGGTGATGAAGGGAGATTAAAAAATTATGTTTGGGTAAAATGGGTGGAAGGAAAGGAGAAGAGAGGGAAGGGTTTGGAGGGTTATGTATAGTTTTGTACAGTAATTTGCTTATCCTCCCAAAAAATGGGAGGAAATGGAAGGAAAGGGAAGACAATAGCTGATGGAGAAGTTGTGATGCCAAATTTACCCTGAAAATTACACAAGCTTGTAAAACAATATACATACAAGTTAGCAGTTGCAGAGAGAATGAGAGACGGTGGCCAGCGGCTGATGGTGAACCCAAACTGGAACAGCGGCGATGGAAACTAAAAGATGTGGGTTTTGATTTTCTGAACAATCTGAAATGATATACCGATCCGGGTATTGAACTTTTGATTCTTGCAGACAGATAGAGAAACTGAAATATATGGGTTTTGAACTTCTAGTTGTTGTAGTGCAGAGAGAGAGAGAGGGGGGGCAAGTTTAGAGTTGAGAACGAGAATAGAGATGGGAGGCGAGATTGGGGAGGCTGAAATGATTTGCCCAATTTTTTTTATTTATTTTATTTATTTTTTATTTTTATAGGAGACTATATATATATATATATAATAGAGAGGAAGCGAGATTGGGGAGGCTGAAATGATTTGGCCTAAATTTTTTTTTCTTTTCTTGTGCAGGTATGGGAGAATATATATAGTGTGTGTGTGTGTATATATATATTAAAATATAAAAGGGCATAATAGTCAATTTATTAAAATAATTCCCTTTCTTTTCTTTCCTTTTCTTTTCCTAAACATGATTATTATCCTTCATTTTCTTTTCATTCATTAATCAACCAAACACAATAGGAGGTTAAAATTATCCTTCCCTTCCCTTTCTTTCCATTTCCTTCATAATTAATGTTTTCCTTCCCCTTCAAACCGACTGTACCAAACATACCCTAAGAGTATGGAGAATCCCCGTTTTGTCATCCACAGTTCAAACCTTGTCTTCCTTTGGGTCTCCCTGTGTGTAATCTTAAGTTTATTTTGGAGACACTGGCCGGTGGAATCCTTCCCTCTTGCGAGAGCGTCATTGATGGTCGATTGGGTGTGGTGTTTAGCAAATCCTCTTATGGTATTTCATTGCCATTGTGGTAATGCTTTCGGCCGCAGTTTAGATAATTTGGTCAACAATTCCCAAGTTCTTAGTTGGTATTTTGGACATAAAATTGATTTCCTAATTCAATTGTCCGAAAATTCTGCGGTCTTAGCGTCTGGAAACATAGATACCCAATAACTTTTAAAGAATACTCCCTCGAAAAAGAGATTCAGGCCTACTCATTAGGCCCATGGAATCATGATTGCGCTGAACTTTTTGCGTAGGCGATGCTATGGGTCTAGGTGAAGTTTCTAGTGGATACAGGAGAATGCAGACTCATTTGGGACTACTTGATTGTGACTTACTCCCAGTCAATGCTAATGAGTGTCCAAAATATGGACTTGTCGACCCACTTTGGTCCGGCCAAAGATAGCCCAAGCCACAGCCCCAGTTTCAGCCCCAGCCCCAACCTAAGCCCAAGGGATGGGATGGGATGGGATGGTGACGTATATTACTATTCAGTTTGATGTGATCTTTGTGTAACTCCCTGTGGATCTATGGATTCTTGTTTTGGATGTTTGTCCGTATATTTCTATGTAATGTTATCTTTGTTTGCCAGAAAAAAAGCCAATTTCTATTGTTATTGTTATTGTTTCAGTGTATAGATTCTTGTTTTGGATGTTTGTCCGTAGATTTCAAAAAAGGAACTTGGAAGGTTCCAATCAATTGCTATTGTTTCAGTGCATGGACATTTGAATTTTTTTTTTTGACTCGAGATATTCGAGACTTCGTCCCGACTAATCCCAAGGATCCAAAAAGGGCGCCTCTCCACCCCGGGCCTCGCTGAGTATGTAATACCCCTAATTTAAAAGGATAGTCTCGGCATTTATTTATTATTTTTGTTGTATTTTTGCATGATTATTTGGTT